TTGAGGTTAATTCATTTGGTATTCAAATAGGGTCTTCTGCTGTGTAGACATATATGTAAGTTTTGTTGTCTTCATACGTCCTCAGGTATATGTGGCTCTGTGATTATAAACCTTGAAACATTATGGAATTCAAAGTTTGCATCTCAGCATTGCTTCTCTTTGTGTGCTATTTGCTATATGCAGATTGCTTGCTGAATAATGTCTAACTTTTGAAATTTTAGGTGAAGGATCAGACATACTTCCTTTCACATCTTTCTCAGGCTCAACTTAAGCAATTAATATTCCCACTTGGTTGTCTGTCAAAGGTGAGTGGGTACTAGTTTTAATGATATGCAACACTTCACTAGATACTTATTTTAGCTAGTTGTAAAATATAAACATCTATTAAATGTTGAATATTTATTGAATCACAAACTTCAGCTGGGAAGAAAGCGTGTATTGTGTACAAAAAATTGAAAAGGCTCACTGTAACTGTATTAACTTCTCCAATAATAAAATTGGAAATGAAGTGATGTTATTAACTTGTTGATGTCAAACTTTTCCAACTTCATACATATGTAATCCTTTTAATTTATTTTTGTTATTTTTTTGGCCATCCTGTAAACTCTTGCATGTAGTTCTATTACCCCAACCCCTTTCTCTTATTTCTGTGGATATTTCTATAGGATGAAGTTCGCAAGCTTGCAACGAAGTTTGATCTGCTTAACAAACAGAGAAAGGATTCACAAGGAATATGCTTTCTTGGGAAGGTATGTTTTGTGGAGCTCCCAACATACTTACCCATTTTCCAGAAGATAATTTCATCCTTTGAATGGCACAACTATCCATATTGATGCCAACATTCATATGGTCGAACTTGGAGTAGTAGTATTGATTGATTCTTTATGGGTTTACTTGAGCGGCCTTTTTTAAATCCCTAACATAATTCCCTCAGTTTTTTAATTTCCTTTTTGGTTATAGATAAAGTTCAGTGAATTTATTGCAAGACACATAGGGGAGAAGGAAGGTATCATATTGGAAGCTGAGACAGGAGATCTCCTAGGAACACATCGGGGGTTTTGGTTCTACACTATTGGTCAACGACAAGGTCTACGCCTTCCGGGAGGACCCTGGTATGCTGTCTCACTGTTAATTGTTGGACCACTTCTAAGGTTTTCTGATGGTACTTGCTCTGTTATCGTTTTAATCTTAAATCTGGTCAATGGGGAAGCAATAGTGGCGCTGTTACGGTTATATATATATATGGGTACTGATTTTCCCACTCCCTTTTTATCCACTTACACTCCATTTTTTTAAATTGTATGTTCTCACTCCTCTTTTGTTCACTCACACTCCCTTTTATCTCATAGTAAAAAGTATTTTGAAAACAAAAGGGAGTGTAGGTGGATAAAAGGGGAGTGGAAAAATCACCACCCATATATATATATATATATATATATATATATATATATGTGGTCATATTATCCAGTAGTTTTTAATTGCTATATGGTTCTAAATCGAACACCAGTGTTGTATTGTATATTATATTTAGGATGAGAATGGCTTGTATTTCATTATTTCCCTGTCCTATAGCTACAGAAATCCTGTAGGATCCTCCTACATGATGTGTTTTTGGACACTTCTGAAAGGATGATTGTGCTGACATGGCATTTAGGGTCATGAACTTGTCGGGTCAGCTTGACCTGTCAAAACTAGTTCACAAGCTGGTCCAAAATCGGTCTCGTGGACCATCAACTGGTCAGTGGGCAGGGTTGGGTCCACTCACTACCTAAATCTAGGGACCATGCTCTAGCAGCTTACTGGCCAATGGGTGCCCTACCAGCTTCGGGTAGGCTTGACCTTTACCCAATTACTGTCTTTAATAAATAAATAAAATTATATTTAAATTAGAGTATTTAACTTTATTTATTGATAAAAATAGCAAATAATATTTTTGTAAAGTTAAAATGTCAGAATGTTTCCATTTTAAGCAGTCATGTTTTGTAAAGTTAAAATGCATTGCAAGCAATGGTTTGCAACATTGTTTTTACTATTTCATGAAATTGCAGAATGTTCGAATGATTACAATTTTACATATTTCTCTAATCAAAATTATTTTCTTACATATTTCTACTGTAGAAACTTAACCATGTATGAAAAGGTTGAGAGACATGCGGACATATCTATGCTGTATCCTACTTTATTGAGAATCATTGTATTAATGTGTGGGTCGTCTTGAACTAATATGAACAACATTTTTCAGCTTTAATGTGTCGTCTCCTCTTATGCAGGTATGTTGTTGAGAAGGATATAAAAAACAATGTAGTGTTTGTGTCAAGAAATTACTTTTCGGTTGACAAAAGAAGGCGCCTGTTTCGTGTTGGCTCCTTGAAATGGTTAAATGGTTTTCCCCCAAACCAGATCAGTCAGCTACAGTGCAAGGTACAAGGATTTAAAATCGATCTGTTACTCCTGTTATAGATTTTTTTGTATATTAGTTTTCAGAATGCAATGCTATTATTTTTCTGATGAGTGTTCTGAGTAACTCAAACTCAATATTATCAAGTGATGCTACATGTACCACATACATATTGAACACATTCTAGACCACAAGTGGGTCCACCTCTACTAGAGATGTGGTCCACAATGTGGACATTTAATGTGGTATAAATATTTTTTATTGAGGTATTATCTGTCTCACTAAAGAGAAGAAAGAAATATTATCTGCACAAATGAATGTATGAAATAAACGGTTGTAGCCTAGAGTTTTTACATGTTTTTTTGTTTCATTTCCTTTTTTTTTTTTAATTTATAACTTTTGGTTGATCTTGTCCTTTCTTTTCTTTTGAGTTTTGAGAAACAGAGTTTTATGTCTGTGGCAGTCTCACAAGTAATGACTTTCTTGACCATGACATAGAAAACTTCCCACTCGTATAAGTTGTTTTCTTTTTCTCTTTCACTTGGTATCAGAGTCAGAACTTCCGCTTGGAAGCATTTACAACAAATTGGACCGGCATTCATCACATAAGGTCTTAAATCAAGTTGTATTAACTAGATGTGGACTAATGTGTCACGGCTGGTTGATAAGTCTTGCAAGGATGGGTGATACAAGGAAAGCTTTGAATCATGTTATATGGTTTGTGGGATTACTGTTTAGAATCCTAGTGAAAAGAAGCTGAAATGTTTCAAACCTTTCAGGTTAGACATGGGCCTGGTTTTCGTAATTGTAGCTTAATAATGGAACCTGGTGCATATGGTCATGAAGATGTTGCAGTTGTCCATTTATCTGAAGATGATCAAGGCCTGGCAGCTGGGCAGTTTGCGGCCTTCTACCAGGGAAGAACTTGCTTGGGCTCCGGTGTAATTTTGGAGTCTTGGGATGATCAAGGTTTTCCTGTATGTGCAAGAGCTCTTGAAATTGCAAGAATGGAAGATAAGTCACTTCTTGGTAGACCCGTTAAGATAAAAGTAAAACCAGAGAATCCGATAACGGAGTCTGATCAGGTAGATGGCATGGAACTTTGTGGAGGACTGAAACATTCTGGAATTTCTGCTGCCAAACAACGCATGCAGGTATCTCAAGGAGAAGCAATAACCCGATTCCCTGTAAATTGGCTGCAGAAGTTTCGAGAGAAGTGGTTGCACATATTCTAGCAATTTTAATCTCACAATGCAGACAGTTTTGAGGCATATGGCGGGGAAAAAAAATCCTACAAATGAGAATTAGAGATAGCTCTTTGCTCTTTCCGGTGATCTTCTCTGTTCCATTCATGTATAGTAGTGGAGTGTGTTGTAAAATTTGTTTGCCGAGTATGCAGTGATCATATAAGTCTTGGCCCTTGGGGTAATTATTTTTTCAAGCATTTTCTCAGGGTGCTTAGTTTTATTATCATAGGAAGGTTGCATTTGCGCCACTTGGCTGCTGATTTTCCATGCATCTTACTCATATTTATATAGTAGATTCTGATTTCTTAATCAAAGCTGCTTGAATTTACTGAGTTTCCACAATGATTGAAAACATGTGCTTTTGTGATTCGGACAACCAATAGCCACGAGTTGTCAAAAAAAATAAAATGGTGAAAAGTAAATTAAAGGCAATATCCGGTGTCTCTTGAAAACAAATGAACACAATAATATCCAGCAGGACTACTTGAATGGAATTGTTTCAAATTTCAACCAAGGGAAGGAGGTAGTGGGATTTTGTCAAGGCCATGGGGTTTGCTCGGAATTGGGTAATGATGGTTATGAGGTGCATCTCTTGGGTGGAGTTTGCTATTATTGTTAATGGGAAGGCAGGAGATGACTTCAAGTCGACAAGGGGTATTCGTCAAGGCGACCAGTGATGTTCTTTCCTCAATGCTTAACCATATGGGTGACTGGTTTATTAGAACGATGGATTCTCTTCAAAGCTTGGCCATCGATCGTTGTTGGCTTTTAGCCCAAATTGCCTACACGTGTTGGAGTATATGGAAAAACAGATGTGTGGCAATCTTTGATGGCTCCCTGGTGTGTCCGCGAAGGTCTTTGAGAGATACTCCGCGTACGATTGACGAGTTTTTACAGCTGCAGTGCTTTCCGATTGAAGCTCGGGATCCTACGGAGGGGGTGGTTTAATCAAGATGGATTCCCCCAACCCGCCCTGTCTATAAGATCAAATGTCGATGCTTAGTGGGATAGCAATTCTCATCAGGACAATAATTTATGTGGTAAATTGTCAACCGAAAAACAGGTTTTAAATAGTTGATCGAGTGGGTTTAAAAAATGAAGTAAAATAAGACTCAGCCCGTCGGTAACGGTTCATTCAGTTGGTTAGAACATGAACATGAACCAACATATCAAACTGAGCATTCTGGGATGAGGAATAGAAATCTTGAAAATACTTAACAACTCATGCACGAAAAAAGAATAGACTTTCGAGAATGTTAAATAGTAAATTATTCTTTTAAATGATTGAAGAAAAACAAAGTCAGAGACTTTTAGGCAGAGAAATAAAGAGGAGACAGAGAGAGGAAGAGGGGTGCTAGAAAATTTCCGTTAGGGCCTCTTCCTTTTCTTTAAAGTTTGTTATGATTAAATCTTAACGGGGGGGTCTTTGTGATATTTTTGTTTCATTTGGACAAAAACCTAGACCTTTGTCATAGGCACCAGGTCTCCAACTTAACATAGTTTTGTACCGAGAGATCCAAATCGCCAGCCTCTGGTTGGAAAATCAGAGGGACTTAACTCCTACAGAATAATAAAATAAGTGCAGTGCCACAATACTCTTCCCAGCCTCAGTTACACCCACTATATCCATTGTTTATGAATGTGAAGCACATCTGATTGCATCTTCTCTTGCATTTATCATGTCTATCTCTGAAAAAATTGAGACAATCCCAACCAAACTAATGTCATGACATTATGCTAAACCTGACTAAGCTTGCTGAGTAAAGGATGATGTTCTCAGCCACATCGGATGGCCTAAGATGGCCCTTCCATGAACAGAGAGGTAAGCTGCGTTTAACCTATCAATCAACCAGAGAAGAAAACAAGTCAAATGCCTGTATATGAGTGCATTAAGTATGATATTTTCCTCTTTACACCAAAGCTGCCAAGAGTCTGAAATTACAATTCACAACTTTTGATCTTTGAAAGTAGGGAGTATTTGTTATCTTGCCTTATCAGAACTATTAATGTGAGACTCAAAATAAAAATTGTGTTGAGAAAAAGACAAGTCATACAAAATGTCTTTGTATTTCACCCAGAAGTATGTTTGTTTGTCATGTGAGGCCATTTTTACATTCTATGAATATTTCCATAATGGTTGAACATTTGACCTTTTATTAACTCATTCAACTTTAGAGTAATTCATTTAAAGTATGCTGCATTAACTGAAAAGGTGAAAAGATATACTTATCAACATCAGGTGTAGCCAAGGGATCATCCAACTCCTCCCTCTGTTCCACGGAGGGGACAGTACCTCCCATAGCTGCAAGATCTTGAACTCCTTCAACCTGAAAACAAAGCACGAAAAAATATATTCAAATAAAAGCTAACAAGTTACAATCCTTAAACTACCACATCCTTCACTTTCTCAAGGCATTCGGAAGTAGTCATTACAAACTACAAAGTCTAATCAATCTCCATAATACATGCAGGAAATGTATGACAGAGCTGAATTGTATATCTGAGAGAACCGAAAATTCTATAATATAAAAAAAGGAAAAGTTCAGGTAAATTGTAGGCATGTGAGGTTTTATTTATCTATAATAAATTGCTCTTCTGTCCTCTTTACTGATATTTTTTATTTTTTATTTATAAAGAAGAAAAGAAAATAAGATTGCAAGCCATTGATAACCAGTTGTGACTCACACACACAATGAGAAGGGAAGGGTAAAAATTCCAAAAAAGAGAATAAATAAAATGAGCAATAAAATGGAAACTCTTATAGTTCATCCTCATAGCTTTCTGATGACGATATGTATTTCATCTGATCTTGACTCCGAATTTTGAACTAAGATACAAGGTTATGCATCATAATATAGAATTTATAAAGCCTGCCTGTTGAGGATATTGGCCATAACCAGCATATGCACCGTATGCATATAATGATGGATCCTGGGTAGCCCCATAAGCATAGGCATCGTAGCCTTGTCCATAACCATAATATGCAGCCCATTGGCTTGGATCTACTTGCTGAGCAAAGCTACCAGGTACATCCTACAATAAGACAGTTTGTCAGTTTAGGCATCCAACTATAAATGTATCTTTTATGCATCTGTGAGTGTATGAAACAAACTGTCCAGCACAGTATTAGGAAGGCATATGGTTATCTCAACTGCATATAAAAGTGCAAATGTCATAAATATCCTACTCACTGAAAACATTTCTCTTATTTCTCTTTCCTCCATCCCCACCCCTCTGACAAAAAGAGGGAGAGAAAACTCACACGTTATTTATTTATGGTATTCTCATTCCACAAGTAGAGTTCAAAATTACCTAAAATATTTGTTCAGAGTCCTAAGACCCATTTAATAAAAATCTGTTAAGTCATGCCTTAATTTAATAATCTTCATATCTTTAAAAGTTAAGAATAAACTCTATTAATATCTTCAATCAAAGATGTTGATCACTTATTAAGTTGTCAAACATAACTTGTGGTTTTTCCAACTTATTTTACACCATCAAGGTTTTTATATCTAACGCATGAAAAATAAAAATCTACATTTTGTAGATCAACAGTTATATAATAAAATACACTTGAAAAACTACCTTATACATTTTTTGTATTTATATAACAAGAAAAAAAATTAATAGAGGAAAAGTACAAAGTAATGAAGCGAGAACCAGCAATCCACCTCCATGTTATGCTAATAGAACAAAATATATCATACAACACAATAAATCAGTAGAAAACAACACTCTTCCCATCCCTAAACAGAGAGCTTCAAAGAATTCTTTGAAAACAGGTGATATCAAAGCAATGATATTGAAGAATGCACTACTCTCCTCAAAAGTATTTTGAACTCTTCTTCTTTCTCTTAAAAAACAGTTATACTCTCTTTCACTCCAGATGATTCATAGCAAAGCTTTCCCTGCGCATCTCCATAAGATTTAACCCCCTTCATATGATGGGCGCCAATCAGTTTTAAATCTATCTTATATACATAAGCACAAATGTGTTAAGTACCCTAATTTAAATTATGTCACTTTAGATAAAGTTTTTCCCTTTTTTGCCCTTCTTTTAATTTCACCACTGTATCCCTCCCTCCCCTCTATACTCCTATTTTTCAAAAATTATATTAATTTACTTCTATTACTGTTCTTGTCTTCATAATTAAAGTATATTTTGAAATCAATAACTTCAATTTTTAGTTAAGAAAAACATAGATCCATAATTATCTAACTCAAAAATTTCTCACCTTAAGTAACACTTTCTATTCCTGGTAAAATCAAATAATTCATCAAAGTTGATATAGAAGTTCGACTTTAAAGTGATACATAGCTTTTATTTTTTTTCCCTTTTTTCCATTAATTAGTATTAAAACCCTACGTATTAAAACAATAGCAATGATACTTGCTTGAAGTGATGTGTTTTTTCTATCCATTTTATGCATATTATACTTTCCATACTCCAGTTATTAAATATTCTAGTACAAGAGTTTGTTTTGTATACAACACAACTCTCGATGCATTAGGTAAGTAAGGCTAAGCATCTTACGTATCAACCATGAGCATCTAAATTCTAGGCAAAGTTGTAGTAATGCATATACAAACAATATGTTTTATCAGGATAACCATTAGTAAGCTCTTAGTTAAGAACCTCCAATCTCTCGCTGTTCCTTCTTACTATTAAGACGAAATATTAACTTCCAAGTAAAAGGATATATGACTCCTCTCTATTTAACAAATCAAATGGAGCAGGAAGTCAAACTTGTAACCACAGCTAAAGCTGCCTCAATACAAGGGAGCCCGGCATGTTGGATCGTGCAGATTTAACAAAGACCTCTCCATTTCCATGGAAAGTGGAGAGCAGCCTATTCAAAAATCAAAAGCATTGTATCTCAATTTTTCAAACACTTCATCCATTCACATATTCCTGTCTTTTAAAATGGAAACCATCTCTTAGAAGGAAAACGTGAAGCAAAAACATCATTATGGTTGAAGACAAACTAGCATTTTATATAGACAAGTCATCTAAAAGAGCAATCACCTGTTTAGCTGTTGGGCTCCTGCCCCAAGAAATGCGGACTACTTGTTGACCAATCATCGTTCCCTGCATCCTTTGGATAGCTTCTTCAGCAGATACCCTATATGGACAGAAGTGAAACCAATAAACAACTAAAGAGAAAAGTAGCATTGTCTTTCTTGGGGGAAGGAGAAAAGGCCTGACAAAGATAAATCAAGCTTTAGTCCTTTCTACATTGCAACATTTTCTCGCCTCCTTCCCTCATACTTATGCAACAACTTTTCTTTAAGCAAAGGATAATGTAACAAGGGTTAACCTAAATAAGCCAACATTCTAATTCCACTTACCCAAGATTTGCGAAATTAGTGGGGAGAGAGAGAGAGAGAGAACAATGCACAGAACTTTCTTCTTATATAAACAAATAGATGGATGAAATACTATTACCAAAAAGAAAATGGGACAATCAAGTGATGGCTTAAATGCTAAACAAACCTTGTCCCAAACTGTACAAAACCACATCCTTTGCCCACAGGAATCTTGACATAGGGAATCTCTCCAAACTGCATAAAACTTTGCTTCAGTTCCTCCTCCGTGACATTAGGATCCAAGTTACCAACAAAAATCTGCATTAGACATAACCATATGAATAGCAACAATAAAACATTAGACACAAACGCAAAAAAAAAGTTCTTAAAGAAAACAAATACAATTAAGAATGTCAGACTTACTGTAGTGTTGTTTGCATCATAATCTGCTGGAAGCACGGGAACTGCTGGTGTAGTGTATGCTGGATTAGGATATACTGCTGCCAGAAAAATCCACAGGTGAGTGCATCTTTGAGTCAGGGTAAATAGACTTTTTCAAGAGAGCATTATCAAGATAATATAAAGAATACTGGAAGCATAATAAGTGAAAAGAAAAGGAGCATGTCTTTCTGGCCACAACTTGAACATATCTCTATATTGATTCATAAAATGATATTACCTTACCTTTTGTTGCACCATATTGCTGCTGAAAACCGGTGGTTTTCTTTGGTGTTGCGGCACTGATACGCATCTGCCTAGTTGAGCAATAAACACCATTCATTTCTGTCATAGCACGGTTCCTTTCTGTCTCATCTGCAAACTTGACAAACCCATATCCCTTTGAGCGTCCAGTGTTTGGATCAGTCACAACCTTGGCACCTCTAACCGAAGAATATTGAGTTCGAAAGGTTTCTTGCAGCATAAAATCTGTAACATCAGGGGCTAAATCCCCTACGAAAATAGAGTGCTCAGGGCCAGCATCAGGGCGTCTTTCCCCAATACCAAACGAAGCCCAGTTCAATCTAAAATTTTGTTCAGTTCCAGGCATTAGTGTCCCATTGTAAGCATGCAGAACCCTTTCCGCTGCAGCATGAGAAACAAATTCCACAAACCCATAACCCTCTGGCTGGCCAGTGATTTTATTACGTATTATCTTTATTGAAATCACCTGAATAAAGTAATCATCCAAAAGTAAATAATAGAATCTCTTATCACCAGGAATCTCTTTTCTGCACACTGCTATAGAACTGCATACTTGGTTTAAAATAAATAAGACATACATAAAACTCTTTGGATGAAACACATATACTTTTATTAAACCATAGAAGAATAATTAGAACAAAGGATAGATAAGATGTCCATCTATGCTGACAAGCCATAATTTTATTATTTTTTTCTTTTTTGTTCTCACAGAAACTCTACTTCCTTCAGCTTCTCATGCAAGAATATTATTTCTTTCTTCTAAACAAATCCCAAGAGAATCCAAAACCACACACTACCAATGGGTATCGCCCGGTTATTTGTCCCAACGCTGAAATAAACCTCAAACAGCAAAGAATAAATTCTTGGCCAAGCCCACATCACTTGCAGCAACCTAATCCAAACTTATGAAGTCAGAAACAAAAAATAATCAGCACTAACCCCCTTGAGTTAGCTCAAGTTGTGAGAGTGGATAGGGAAATGGGCTAGGATTAGGCTAGGTCAAGGGTTCGATTATGGTACAGCGCTCTTGGGATCACTTTGCAAAGCACTACAGTGGAGCCAAACAAGTATAATGTCTCCTTTTTGGAGCATATCACAAGTATTAATTCTTCATGAACCACAAACCAAACAAAAATTATATACTTCAGTAGGTAAACCAGCATTTCAAATTATTTCATATGGCTCTGCAATGGGATCAACTGGTTTGTCTAATATAGGGTTTGCAAGAAGTAAAAAAACATCATAAATGGCCTAAAATCTTTTTTGGGATCATTCAGATATCATTAAGCCTCAACAATAGACCTCAAAATTTTGGAAAAAAAGGAAGCAACAGCAGTAATTAGTAATTACTGCATTATAATTCACAGATAACGGACCAAAGATCGGAAAGATGAGTCAACATTCCATCTTCCTGAAGGAAAACCAATGCAAGTAAAAACAAACAGAACTTACTTGCCCCAATTGGTTATAGTTTTTTATTTTTTATTTTTTGGTTAAACAATTGGTTGTAGTTAAAGATTACGCAAGCATGGAAAAGAGGACATAACAATCCTACCCTATGACATTTTATTTGCCTATGAATGTTGTACATTGTTATTTCTCTTCTCACTCGTCTAAGTCATATTTCAGAGTGTTTACAATCAAAATTCCATATATTAAGACCTAACACAAAGCAAAGACATATCTAGTTTCCAGATGATTATGTGAAGATTATGCCAGCAACAAAGAAGAAGGTTCCAGCTAGAATAGATGGTAAATTATCTTGGCAACATGAACTAGGGATAGAATCTCACAGCCATCAGGGTTTATGGGATGGGAGAGGGCTACATCCCATTTGAAACCCATAGGTTCAAAACACCTCGAATGGGGCAAAAAGTTTAATATCAGAAGAACTGCCTCGCTCCCTTCTATAAATAACCATGAGTTTAATCTCGTAAATTTGAATGGAACAGTAGAAATCATATTTGCAAGCTTTGCTCGGCCTTTACAAGAATGGACTATCAACCATCTAGTTATTCACAGGGCTCCAACCACGTATGACTTGATTAGTAGTGAGACACGACTCATCCACATTAACTGTTTATGTTGTTTGGTTACAATGGAAGGGAATTGAACCATTGACCTAGCCTAATCCTAACCCATTTCCTCACCCACCCCTCGCTACTTGAGCTAACAAAACAATATTACTCAGCACTAAAGTTCATAAATTTGTGTTGCCTGTAGACTGCTCAATGCCTTGCCCACACCATACCTATTAATTATCCCCAAATACATATTCACAAAATCCTTGTATTATCAATAACCATAATTCAAATGACCTAACAAACAATTTTAAAATCAAAGACTAGTCTTACATCAGTAGAGTCTATATACATATATGCATACATATCCAAATTCAAACGACACACTACAATAAGCAAAACCAAATTCAAGAAATACCCATTTTTATTAAAACTGAATTCCGATTATAAACTCTAAAATTCCCAGCAAAACCCTAATAGATATTATATCTACTGATATATATATATATATATATATAGAGAGAGAGAGAGAGAGAGAGAGAGAGAGAGAGAGAGAGAGAGAGCCGGTGTGTGCAAAGCAGGTAGTGAGGTAGTTTTCGTCGACCCAATACTGTAAATCCCCAATCCAAAGGGTTCTGACCTCTTCCACTGAAGTTGGTTGATGATGATGATGCTGATACCCTTGAGCCTGAGACATCATACTACTCGGCGGTTGAGGCTGAGCGCTCATCATTTTCTTCTTTGTTTTCTTTGCACGCTGCGAGCTTCTACGTCTCTCTGACTCTATGTATCATATGCTAGAGCTCTACTGCTTTTCTACCGGGAGGCGGAAGCCGGGACAAGGACACAGGAATATGACAACTTCAACGAGACTCTTTGCCTGAATTAATCACGGAAATATGAATATCGATTGAAACATGTTTAAATTATCGCTAAACTTTTTTTTATGAAAATTAATAGAAAAAAGAAAAAGAAATTGTGAATGAAAATAAACTAAATGTTTAGAAGTAAAGAATAGGATGAGAGTGTGTTTGAAGAGTTTAATCGTCAATAGCTAAAATTTAGAGCCCAATTTCATAATTGTTAGTTCTAATTTTATTTTATTTTTTTAACTTTTAAATATAGCAAAAAATTTATTTGAATATACTCAAATGCCCTCAAAATTTAAGACCCAAGAGTTTCGATCCCAAATCCAGTTTGTGTTTAGGGATGGCAAAAAACCTTGTCGTGTTGGGTCCTTATCAGGTCCCCGGCCCTAACAAGAGGAGATTTCAAGGAAAAATCGAGGGCGAGTATGGCAAGTACAGGGATCCCCGAATTTTAAAAATCATCGGTTGTGTATAGGGCTGAGATGGTATTGTTATCTTCATTCTCGAATCCAGTCCAATAAGTAATATATTTATGTTTATGTAATATACATATAATATAACTATGTATTGTTATAATTTAATATTTATTTAGTTTTTTCAAATTGAATTAAGATGATTGTGAGTAAGTTGAATTTAAAGGTCTTTTTTTAAAATTAAAAAAAAAATTCAAATAGAAACTTCATTAGATATACTATGGTACACACATCAACAAGACATCTAAAATATCAATCTCAAGAGGGCAACAAACTAACATGCTAGAAGCAAAACTACCACGGACAAAAACTGCACTAAAACTACTAGCCTACATCACCTAAATTAGCCATAAACCTAAACAAAGCCCACAAACCAACATAACCAAATTAAATGTGGTTGATAGTTTAAGGTCAATTAAATGTGGTTGATAGTTTAAGGTCAAATTAGTATTAAAATGTAGGATAAGTATTTTTTTTTATGCAAAAAAAAAAACTCAGGAATTTGGGGTAGGTTTGGGGAAAATCCCCCCTACGGGGTTGGGAACTCCCCAAAAATTCTTATCGGGGATGGGGATGGTATTGTCATACCCGGCCTCGAACTAGCCTGCTGCCATCCCTATTCGCATTCTTCTTATCCCCCACAACCCCAAAAATTCTTATCAGGGATGGGGATGGTATTGCCATACCCGGCCTCGAACTAGCCTGCTGTCATCCCTATTCGCATTCTTCTTATCCCCCACAAACATAAAGATTGGGGGTCAATAGCCACCATCTCTCTCCTCCTACCCTTCTCTCCCCTCCTTTTGGCTTTCTTGATGACGAAGTTTTGATTAGGTTGCTGAGGTGGATCTATGTCAGATTTGTGCCAATCTGTTCGTCTTCATCCTCCCTTGATTTGGTGCGGGCCTAATCCGAGTGACTAAGAGCTTTAATTTTTCTTTATGTTTTAAGTCAGTTTTCTCGGTATCTCCGTAGGAGAGTTTTTGTTTCATTATTTAAGTTGGTATGTGTTCAATTTCTCCAAGCCCTGTCCTAGCGTGGTTTTTGGCTTTCCTTTAAAAAAAGTCACTAGAGTAAAGCCATGTGATTGTGATTTGTTGCTAGATTTGTGATTGGGGGAGTACCATAGCCATGATTATTTTTTGTACCTCATTGACATGGGGCGTACAATAGCCATGATTATATTTTGTACCTCATTAAAATATGTATTGATCAGTTCACAATTGCATATCATTTTGTACCCTTCTAACTTATGATTTGGTTATGTTATTGAGTCAAACGTGTGCTTTTAATCCCTTTTCTGTTTATCATTCAGTTCATTGAGCCTTAGGTAGCAATGGTGCCTTTGGATAAGAAAAGATGCAAAATGGTGAAAAAACGAGCAGACTGGGTTGTCAACTCATTTCGGCCTTAACGTCTTTCTCCCAACTTTGATTGGCCCATATAATATGTGCCTGGAAAGATGAGAGTCTGAACTGCAAGATGGACTACTCAAATAGATCAACTGACTAAGTCAACCCCAATCCGTGAGCCCATCAAAATGCACACCATGCTCAGGAATGCAACGGCTAGCTGTTGAGCCATGTGCTGACAAGACAGCATGGAAACTCAGAAGGCAGGGGCAGCTGACATTCCAAGAGGCATGGGCAGCTGACATTCCTAGAGGCATGGGCTAAACATCAAATCAGCAGCATGGAAACTCAGAAGGCATGGGCAATTGACATTCCTAGAGGCATGGGCTACACATCAAATCAGCAGCATGGGAACCTAATGGGCAGCTCAGACAAATGGGAATAAATGTCACTTCATTCAGCCTAAAATTCACTTCAGCCATCCTCTAACACTCCCATCCTTCCCCAAACACTCCATTCAGTCCCAAATCACCAAAACAGCTCCAACAAGCCTTCCTTCCATTTCCCTACGAATTTCCTCTTTCTCTGCCATCACCACTCACCCAAACTCATCCCAAATCACCTCTTTAGTTGCCATACTCTAGATGTGAGGAAGGTCTTGGAGCAGCATTAGGTGTGGAGAAGCACTTGGAGAAGCCTTGGACACCACAAGTAACTTCAGAAATGGGTTTTTCCACTCTTATTACATTCATTATGTTTTCTCATTTCTGTTTAAGTTTCATTTCCATTATGAGTAGCTAAATTCATAACTAGGACTTCGATGTAACCTAACATGAATATTCTGGGTTTATAAGTTGAAGTTTTGAGTTTCAAGTTTGATTCATGATTCATGTTCTTATTCATTATGCTTATCAATTAATATGCTTGTTTGGATGATTGATCACCATTAGAACTTGTATATTAGCTATCTTGGTTTGAATCAAGAGTAGACACCATGCTTTGATTCGAATTGAACTATGAACAAGAAAAGTATGTATGGACATTCGACAAAAGGGATTAGATACATGCTTGGTTGTTTAAATTGTTCTTCTATGCTTAATGAGTTCCTAATGCTTAATTTAGGTTAGACAACAAATGATCAAGTTAGGGAATTAGGAACACAAGGTTAGGACCAGACACCATGACCTAATCATACTTTAGCTAGAATCAATCTTTGAATCCGAATTAGACTTGTCACTTGACTCCTTATAACCTAGAATTGAATTGTTATGGTGAATCGAATGCCCTAGTCTCCCAATCTGTTTTCCAGCCCACAAAAACACTCTTTGTTACATTTGCTCACTTTGCTTTTGTTTGAAATTTCGTTTTGCCTCATTTGTTCAACAATTACAATCACTCTTGGTTTAAATTCTATTTTAGACTTAACCTCCTACTTTCTTGAATTTGGTAATCTAAGTACATAACTAATTTTAACTTCTCAGTCCTCGTGGGTACGACCTCGTACTTGTCTTGCTATATTACTAATTGGCCCGTACAATTGCGAGTTAACATTTTAACAACATGTATTGGGTCCTTGTTGAGTCTAAGTATGAGTTCAAGTTATTGATTACCCTGTGTGGCTTTAGTAATCGAGCCTTTCGACTTTTATCAATGATGTTTCTATCAGTTAGCAAAAAAAAAGAGATTGATCATGACTTGTTTTTCTTCAAAATTTCATTATGTTTTTGCTTGACTTCTGTAGATCTGATATTTTCCTTTTCCTCAACGAAAGCTCGGAAATTGAACCCATGTCGATAACAAAACAACAAAGTCCTAACCCAACCTTATTTGCCTTCTATGGGTTTTATTTATTATTATCAATTCATTATTTTTTTTAAGTGATATGTGAATCAAAGAAAAATTAACAACGTTTAAGTTTCTCAATTGCATGGAATTTGCAGTGTTATTGTATTATGATTTTCTCACTTCCTTTTTGTCCACTTACACTCCCTTTTGTTTAATATACCATTTCAAATAAGGGAGTGTAAGTGGACAAAAGATAAGTGAGAAAATCAGCTCCGTTTATTTTTTATCTTTAGATGTTCTTGCTTTCAGTCTCTTTGGTGACTACTGTTTGTATGTTGCATCTCTCTTTCTGGAGTTTCAATGAATATATCT